ATTTAGGAATTCTCAATTGGGTGCAATATAATAGCGATTCTACTATACACTTTCGAAATGTTCTACCACCAACAACTTTCATGTCAACTTTCAAACTATTCAAATTGATAAATATGCGGCAATACGTATTCAACAGGCAGGTATGTGAAGAGCCAAATATGAAACTGACGTCATCATAGTAAATTCATATATATGTGGTATATACGTATACTGTAAATACCTTCCTATCATACTTTTCGGTATAAACTTCTGTTCGGCACTTAAATGAAAATCCCGATATTAAGTGATAGGAGTGGAGTGCTTTCCATTGTGAAAGAACGTAAGCAAAAACAAAGAATACAAAAATGCAAAATCATACGAGTTCTAAAACCCAACCCACGTTCTAAAAAGTCTGCAAGCTACTTAAAATGGAACAGCGAACATACAGAAATCGAATTATGAATAGGCGGCCGGCATATGAGMAGACAAAGTGCGAGTAAATTGAAGCACTTAATTGTTTTCTTTGCCTTTTATTTTGGGAGCTAAAAACATAGAAGACGGCAAACAATGCCAAGCTTAATTTAAATTGCTAATACGTAAAGCATAAGATAGCGATTTCGGAAAGCAAAAAAAAAAAAAAGCAAAACGCGGCTGGAAAGATACAAGCGTTCAATCAATGGTTATGTGGTTAAACTGACAGCATGCCAGTAGGTGGTATGGTAGAAATTGGAAAGTGTTGCCCACAAACAAATACACTCGGTTTTAGGATATAATATTTGCTTTTGAAGTGTTATRTAAGTTTTTAATCAATTTGCAGGCTTGGTAATTTGCTAACGACATACAAGTGTATATACTTTCATAACTGACCTGATTGATGMAAATAAATGCAAATACCTACATAGCTAAGAAAATAATTTGCAAAAYTCGCATTTCTTAATAACTTCAATATCTATTAATTTGTATTGAATGCTTTTTTCACATTAATTTATTAAATAACTTCAATATTAAATTCCTAATCAATGAAAAATTAAATGATATAAAAGCAGTTTAGTTCCATTTTTGTATTTTGAGTAACTATATATTTATGTGCATTTACAAATGTGGAGGTGTATGCACATGCTTCCAACATTGCCGCGAATATTTGTGTGATTAATAGGAATTTTTGGTAGCTTTAGTGGCATTAGCCGGCATAAATCGGCTGCTCTACCTTGCGTTTCCAGTCTTTGCACGAACAAAAATATATACATACGCATACGTGTAATATAAAAGCACGCTAATTTAGCTAGCATATAGTTATGTATGTACATAAATTACATTGTGGAGATTGGGAAATAAGAAAACTTTGTAGACAACTTGACTGGTAGCAACAACAAAATGTCAATTATAGCTATTGCATACTAACATACTTARTAAATGCCAAGTAAATAAAAAATTGTGCACATGTATGTAGCACATATTAGCTAGTATGTGTAACATAGGCGTCTTCTTTGCTAAATGTCGAGCGTTTTACTTGCGTTTATGTTTGTGAATTCCTGCTTAGACGTAGCTGAGGCGCTTGCATCATCAACAAAAATGTATTTCTAGTAATTTAGGTCGTATTTTTTTATTGCCGGTTTTTAGTAGCATTTCGCAGATTACATGATATAGGCTATGCAGAAACATATGTTCTAGATGTGATGCATAAATGAATTTAAATTTTCAATTATAAAGCTTCACTTTTTGCATCTTGGTAWTGTTTTACTTTCGTACAATTGTGAYAAAGTCAAGTCAGCTCAAGTGCAAAAGTCAAAGGAGGGGTATAGGGTGGAAAATCAATTGATARCCATAAAAACAATTGCACATTACGAAAGAACTATACTTGTATATACAGTATGAACAGAGCTAAAATGCGCATTTTCTTACTTTAAATATTAACAAGGTATAGGGAGAGCAATTAAAACTCTTGGGTGCTCAAAAATAAGTCTAGGTTAAAAGAAATACAAAAATTTCGCTGAAAAATGGGTGTARCGTAAATTATAGCAATCTTTATATTTAGGAAATTTTGATATGACAATACTTTTAATGCATTCTGCAAATTTGAGCTACTTTTTTTTTTATAAATAATTATGTGTGTTTATTTACAGTTTAACTTAATTTTTTCCATGCACTTTTTAATGCCTTATACGCAAATCTGTTCAAATATCGGTAATAGGCATTTTGCAACTTTATGTACAAATTAGTAACTAGTAATGGGGCATACTCAACTACCTTGCGCTTCAGTATCATCTTCGCCCACTTGCGCAAACCAATGTAAAGTTGGTTTCTTAGCATTTACACTAKCCATGGAATTGGGGGTACACACAGCAAACGGTACAGAACACGGATTAAATGCGAAATTGGCTTTTGAATTCAATTTTGAGTTTTATTTGCCCAATTTTGTCACGTTACAGTTAAAAGTGAAAAATGGAATGTGAAGTTATTAGCATGATTATCAGCAAAAGAAAAATGCGAATACGTGTACATATGTATTACGTATATTGAACTTGTGTGCGTGCAGTAATTTTAAATTATAATAATTACCTTTGCGTTCGACACTGCCTTCTCGACTATCGACTTTCTGAACTGGTTCAGCTGCAAAATAAAAGAAAATGAACGATTAGTAACAAATTAAATCAGGAAAATAAGAGAAAAAAACATCAAAAGATATAGGCAACGTGTCGGCAGACGATATTAAAAAATCTGTAGTTTTCACACTAGCCATACGAATACCCAGGCGTATACATATACATATGAATATATACATGTGGGTAAACATTTTTCAAGCACAATTCCATGTATTAGTCAAATCAGCTGTAGAGTAAAATAAACATAAGACAGAGAAGTAAGGGAACGAAAGAAAACAATAACAAGTARTTATCTACTAATAAATCAAATATAAGAGAAAATAGTGAAAATATATTTCAACTACACTTTCACAATGCCCTTTAAAATACTGCGTCTAAGCGATAAAGAAAATAATCGTGCTGGCATTTCACAGTAAATATAAGAAACAGTGATGAACAGATTTTAACTACMCATGTACACTATTAGAACAAATGCAACTTATCTTTGAACAATTTCGTTTAAAGTATAATTTGCAATTGTTAGCAAAATGTCATATAGAATCCTTTTGTACATGACTAATTATGATCTGTCAATATATGAATAACTCTAATTTTTCAGTAAATGGGTATATTGATTGGTTCTTTTGTATAACCAATGACTTTCACTATAGCACAGTTTATATTTGAATGATACGGGTATGTATAAAGATATAAAATATGATCCCACCACTTTCATTTATATAAAAATACTCTGTTTTTAACTCCAGATTATCATAATATGCTAAGTCTTTATAAAATATTCGCAATAAATGAAATGGTTTGATATTTCTGGAACTTTCAAATCCAAAGACTAATTAAACTTATATTTCGGCCCTTAAAGGTCAGTAACCTACCACTGTAGTAGGGAGCGGCCAACCGCTGACACAACTAGGACAAAGGAATTACATATTTTTTGGCGAACAGTAAAAAAAACATTTATGGATGATTCAGCACTGGTGTGTCTATGACTGCGCTGCATATCACGAACAAAGTTTGCCCTTTATATATTCATAAATTTGCCACATAGTTGCGAATTTTCATATACGTATAACACTATTTGCTAACATTTTTAAAAATGTTGAACATCTAAAAACCAGCTGACTCCTTTCTATACATAAAATRTATTTAGTGTCCATCGATTAATTTTTCCGGTGAACCAAATAATATTGTTTTTCGACTCAAAAAACATTGCYTTAGCTTTACAAGAAATGTAAGTGCAACACACCAGATGGTTGACATAATGCAATAGCAAATCAGTTTTTATTCTGGAATAACTCGGTTGACTTATTTTTAAACTCTTCGGCCCCGTAATCTGCTATGTTGAACACTACACTGCGTTGGCCTCTGCACTTGGCAGTTTGTCGTATCATATCGAGTACGTTTTTTTCCGCACGCACTCCTTCCTGGAGTGGTGCACCTTGATGATGAGAAAAAAAAAGTATTTTCTTTTCAGGTTCACACAATAGCAAATGTTTGCTGCGCGGCTACCGCTGTCTTTCGCTCAGCTGCGCCGCTGCCCTCAAGKTTGTTCGTCAGCTCTTCAACAATCGATTGGTTTTTCACACATGAAAAGCAATCAATTTTATAAAATTTCTATGCGAAAATGTCATCTGCCTCCACCGTAACATTTCGGTAAGATTTTTTCCTGAATTAGAGGTTTACCTTCTTGGTTATTTGATGAAATTTGCTGTTCGCCCACAAGACTCGCCATATTTTTCACTTTTACATCAGTCACTTGGAATTTTTCACAGTTTTAGAACTAATAATGACGACGACTGCGAAAGCAAAAAAACGAAAACGGCAAACGGCACAAGTTCGACGAACGAGCAGACGAATAATTGCCGCAAAAAGAAATGACTAAAAACGTCTTGACAGAGATCCGTATGTTGACGTTGGATTTGCTATGCTTTCTATTGCCAAAGAGTAGAAGAGATGGCCATATTTTTGTAGTGCTAAATTTTTTTAGTACACTGCCGAGAGTAGGGTTGATAAGTTGTATTACAATTAATAATAAATTTATTAAAATAGTTTCGTAAAATGTTTGAAAAGGTCAAATACAGGAAAGTTCAGACTTGTAAGTAAATATATTAATGAATTTCTTCTTCTTTCTTATTTAAACATTTTCAAATAAATTAACTTCATGAAAAAAAATTGTTAACATAATCAGTGTTACATGTATACAATAATTTTAGTAAAAATCTTTGAAAATTAATACTTACTTATTATTAATTAGTACTTAAATATGTGCAATAAATACAAGTTTAATTATAATAGCAGAAGATGAATTTATATATCTTTTGGTGCTAGTTTTTAACTCATCATTAGAATGTAATGCGGTTGGCATCTCTGTATGTTGGAATTAAACTGACAACTTATTTCCAACGCTGCCTCAGTCGACKTCGTCTACTGTCAGCATCATCATTGTGCATTAATGTGTTCGTTGTTGTAGTGAAATGTTTTTCGGGTGAACCATAGCTAAATTGTAAACGTCAGTCAGTTTCCTTTTGAAAACWTTGTACCGCGAATAAGTAATTATAATATTTTAATAAAATGTCGCGAAATAATACGGCCCAAGGCAGTGGATCATCTGTACAAACCTACAAATTAGTAATTGTTGGAGGTGGTGGTGTGGGAAAATCGGCATTAACGATACAGTTCATTCAGGTATGTTTCAAATGGCCAATGAATATACATATGATGARTGGTGTATGGGGGAGGTGTAGCCAGAATACCAAAAGCGTAACAAGTTGATTTGGATAACAGCTTGCCGATTGCGGAGCTCTATCCGCGCATTTCCATTTGTGAATATACGCACGCAAAGACCTTGGACGAGTGTAGCCTTACCAAAAAACTTGACATTCGTTGTCGTTTAATATTAGTATAACTAGTTGCTACCATTTGGGGCAGCAGCTGTTGTTTCAGTGGGATATCGCACTYATAAGTGCGCGGTTTTCGCTGCTAACGCACCTCGAGTCGTTAGTTTCGAGCAACGCCCACATTGTAGCGTCATCTTAAGAAAATGTCTAATTCAAAGCATATAATTTTGAGATAGTGCTACTAAGGCTTATGCTGAAATACACATATTTATGCTATAGGTAGCTCAACACCCACTTTAATGTAAACATTATTTTATGTATTATAGGTATCTACAATTATGTAAATGTTCAAATCTTTATACTCAGTATGACGCATTTGAAACTCTTTAATACACTGCTGTCCATCAATTCTTATGAAAATATCAAATATTACAAAGCGCCAAGCTCTTGAAGGCTGTGAGATCTCTCCCCCTAATTGAATTTGAAATTTATGAATATAATATACATACGTATTCATGCGTTTATGTGCACATATGAAAGAGGGTTAGTGCCAGTATGTTATTGTAGGCTTTGGGCAAATAAATTTGTCTTCATATTTACTTTCCTTAAGTATATACAWACATATGTGTACAAGTATGTAAAAGATTTGCTTGCTATAATAACCTTATTTATGAGCGTATTTTTAGAAATTTACGTCATTTGCAATATTTGCGTATATTTTCATTGGATTCTAAATTAAAAAGGAAAATGTTTAGTATGACGGCAATATTTAGTTATACATATACGTGACGGATAGACCAAATATTGTTGATTTTATGCATGAAGTCAAGAAGACTCCTAGCTGTTCCTAGCCTATTGTATTTACATATATGTATGTATTTGCTTAGTGCTTAAGTGTATGCGGACTGTCATTATTTCATATTCATAATTTTTGTGAATACTATAGTTGGTTATTGCAAGCTTTCGTGTGTCTAACGTGTTTTTATCAGTTTGTTAAGTAAACATTTTTCTTAGTAAATATTGTTAATTAAAAGAAAAGTTATGACAAGTATATCAAGTGTATGCGGAATTTACATATGTACACATATAAATCRGTATACCACTTACATTTAGTGTTATTGTAAGTAATTGTAGTTAGACAAAAACGAACATACTTGTAGATGCCATATTGTATAAAAAATGTAATTTTAATATTACACGGTTATATTTTTAACATCTACTCATTTTCCTTTTTCAGAGCTACTTTGTAACTGACTAYGATCCCACAATTGAAGACTCCTATACCAAACAGTGTGTCATCGATGACATCCCAGCCAAGTTAGATAGTAAGTATATAAATAACTTTTTTAATTTTTGAACATTTGCAATAAATTTGTTTCGTATAGTTTTGGATACTGCCGGTCAAGAGGAATTTAGTGCTATGCGTGAGCAGTATATGCGCTCTGGTGAGGGTTTCCTGCTTGTGTTCGCTCTAAACGATCATTCCAGCTTTGATGAGATACCGAAATTCCAGAAGCAAATCCTACGCGTCAAGGATCGTGATGAATTTCCCATGTTAATGGTTGGCAACAAATGCGATTTGGAACAACATCGACAAGTTTCATTGGAGGAAGCGCAAAATGTAAGCCGAAATCTCATGATACCGTACATTGAATGCAGCGCAAAGGCGCGTGTCAATGTGGATCAAGCTTTTCATGAGCTTGTGCGAATTGTGCGAAAATTCCAATTAGCCGAACGTCCATTCTTGGAGGAGAGCTACAATAGGAAAAGCAAGCGAAAATGTTGCGTATTGTAATGCGATATTAGGAAACATTTAAAAGCTAGACAGAAATTAGAGAGTGGAAGACGGTACATGATTTTTTCGAAGATAAATAATAATTTTCGATATCGAAGTGGAATTGACGAAAAATGCTGCCAATAAACTGAATTACATAGAGAATTACTTCTTCAAAAACATGAAAACACACACACAAACATAAAAAATCCATACTAATTGTGTGAGTGAGTGGAAAACCAGCGTAACTCATAGTAGCAGCAAACAACGGTACATGTGCAATACGAGAGGAAAGAAATATTATTTCAGCGTACCACTTGAAAACTGGAACAACCTGTGTGTACACGTAACTAAAAACAGTTTATGATAATACATTTATTAAAACGCTACATTTATTGTACAAAAACGAAATTCTAATGCAAGCCACCAGAGTCCATAGTATATGCCGAACAGAGCAAAGAGTAAGCTAAATGTGCTTTGCCACACTAAATCAACGAAAATATCGAATACCGCCAAAAATATTTAATGTTTTTTATTAATCAAATTAATAAGTCAGTGAAAAACTTGTTAACCAAATTTATGCTAAACGCTAAAAAATCAAAACACCAATTAAAATTTTATACACATACTAAATTAAGGAAATGAAAAAAAAATAATAATAATAAAATATATGTTTGTGAATTTTATAAACTAATTATGTACAACGTCAGGCGATTAAAATGTTTAACTAATAAGTATGTGAGTTTTGTATTTAATATTAAAATAATATTTTATTTATTAAGTGATAAAATTGCATTGCGAAAATCGTTACGATTATGCCAAAAGAGATTTGTATTTTTATGCTTAATATTGAAAAACACCATTTTTTGCTAATAATTGTCGAAAGAAAATGTATAAATAAAAACTGAAAATGTAAAACATTGTTAATCAAATCAAAAAATCTAAAAGTTATTAACGAAAAGGAAAAAATATCAAAGAAACAAAACATATATTAACTAACAGTTGAACAAAACGAATAAAATTTTGAGTGCCTACGTTTTTATATGTACAAACGTATGTATGAGTGTAATGTATGTAAAAGCAAACGCAGCCAATCATAAGTCTGTCTCTTATACACATCTTGTATGAGTGTAATGTATGTAAAAGCAAACGCAGCCAATCATAAGTCGGTTGCAACTGCTACACCACCCTGATATTCTAAAAGTCTAAAAATAACAACGTTGTGTTACACTTATCAAATGCTAAAAAGCTGAAATGCCAAAAGTTATATTGTAAAGTTAAAATTCAAGTAAAATTTACACTTTCCATTTAACAAAGCAAAAGTAGAAATTAATGTTTATTTGTGAATAAACAAAGTGATTGCCGTATTTATTAATTGCAATGGCTAAACACGCGCTGATATTTACATATCTGAATTGCACAAATCTCATACAGACGGACAATACACCGAAAAATTTCACTGCACAAGTTTGTTTGTAATCGTAATTTTGAAGATGATGCATATTTTATATAATATAGCATAACGGCATGTCTTACATATGTATGTATGTGTGTGTAGTAAAGGTTGTTTGCTCTTATGCAATATGTTTTGAAAAAAAAAAAAATATATGCATTTCGAAAACGCACAAGCGCATGTCGCAACATTTTTGAATGGCAAAGATAAAATTGAAATCATCTGTTCACATACCCAGTATTTGCAGCGTTTGCATTCATACAACACACATACATATGTACATGCATACATTTTTGTACGTACAATTTTAATTAAATTAAATGTTTTAGCGTTATATTTATGTATATGTATATGTATACATTTATGTGAGAAAAACAAACAAAATACATTTAATAAAGCAAGGTCTAATTTTTGTAAAACGGAAATCAAGTCGACTAAGTATTCATTTTTGCTTTGTAAAATCTTTCGCTCACGATCCTGAACACACCTGATATTAAGTTTGCCGCGAAGTTTATAATAGTCAAAAGCCTCCGTTGYCGGACCACTGTRTCACAGAACTGGCATACCTCATTCCCACGACAGTYGGGTCTAAGTAATGTGGAAAGGAAACAAGTTTTTAACCGATCAAGGATTGTTAACTCGGCACCATTCCTCGAAATTACTAAAGGTGTTCAGGAGAGCAAGTTCGGCAGTACCTCGAGAGGGCAAAATAGGTCAAATTCTTAAGTATCGTCCGTTCCCTAAACCTTTTCAACCTTTACTTTCTGACATGATTGCACCTTAAAGGTAACCGGAAATAGCTTAGGACACTCCTGAACGAAAGTAAATATTTAYCTCAGAAACATTTCAAAACTATTCTCTGGGCTGAAGCTGGTTATCGCTCCATTAACAGACAATCTCTTTCCTATATACTTATTCCAAACGAAAATTCCAAACACATAAGCACTGTAACAGTAATAAACCCCTTAAGTAGCTCGCAGTCAGAAGTAAACTACGTCGGCTCTATCTTACCTTAAGGATCAATGAAGAAATTTCCAGTCTCGGTACCGTCATTGGATTCCTTCTTTAAGTAATATCTCCAAGAAGCGGTGAAATTTTCTTTATCTTCTTCTTCTTCTTCTTCTTAATATTCGTAGACACCGCTTACGTGATTATAGTCGAGTTAACAACAGCGCGCCAGTCGCRTCATGTTCTCTGGAAAGTTCTCTGATCGCCATTCACTTGGGAGTAGRAAGAAATTATTCTTTTACATATGACTCAGGCAGCTCACGACTTCCGTTCTTTGACCAAGTATCCTCTGGGTAGCCTAAGAACATCCGTTTGAAGGCGAGCTACAGTGAGAAGGCGAAATACCCGCTACATAGGGTTGTGCGCTGGGTATGGGACCCGCCACGTAAAAAAACACTACCAATGAAAAATTACCAACAGCCTCGGATTTTAGATAAACTACATCGACACTTCTTCTGCCTGCCACTGATATCGACAAAAACTTATTCACCTGGGAAGCCTCTTCCAGCCTGATTTGTCTGTTGGGTTTAAGGCTGGAGCAATTGAGTGGGAAAATAAATATGCTTCTATAAGAATATTCTATTTCTATAAGAATATCGGAGTTAATACTTTTTTGCATCGATAGGAAGGTTTTGTTRTAGAAAATGCCCCAATTTAATACTATTGTTCGTCTGTTGGGCCATTCTCCTTCTTTTTTACTTGGCCCATTGCAGAATCTGTAAAAAAAGACACACAAATATTTCCCGTTTCCTCATAATTATCTACTATTTCCAATCAAACCCTACGAGTGAGAGACTCATGTTATTTTAAGAGAAGCCCGAAAAGTGCTCGGCTAATTAAAAAAGTAATAACGGACACACGGATAAGGACATTGCGTATGTCCTACTTACAACACAAAGAMATCGGATCCGTATAAAAAGCCTCAATAAAGTGGCGATAAGCAAGCAACGTTCCGCACAGTCTTCAAGATGAACTCAACACGTACACAACTCWTCGCCGCCATGTTCTTGCTCTTCTTGGCTGTGGTCAACTGTCAGGTGCACACACAGCTCATGAAAAGCGGCCAATGAATTGGTAAATAAAACAGTTATTATCTATTTACAGTTGACCTTCTCGCCAGACTGGGGTAAGCGTTCGGTGGGCGGCAGCGTAGGTGGCGGCGCAACTGGCTTCTTCGACACGCAGCCTAGCGGCAATTGCAAGACCTCCAATGAGATGCTGCTCGAAATATTCCGCTTTGTACAGGTAAAGATTGACAGGGCGTATGAGTGATTTTTATACACCTAAGAATATTACATAACCTCTTGCCATTATTATTCACAGGCAGAGGCGCAACTCTTCCTGGACTGCAAGCATCGCGAGTAGAAGTCATGTCATTAATCAYCACATAAATACTCGATATTTTTAATATATACATATGTGCAATTGTTTTTGCATTTTTTATTTTGGGGTAGTCGGCATTAGTTTGGATAAAATCCGCTTTTCAATACTTCAAATGTTTATTTGAAATTAATTAATAAAAACTATAGTGTAATACCAATGAATGTATATTATATATTATATGGTAATGATATGTAAAATACTTATAAATAAAAATATTAATGAATGCATGCCCGTAAAACAAATCTGCGCCGGCTTTCTTCTAACCCACTGTAAGGGGGGAATTACCGGTTTTTATAAACGTTTGCGATTACCATAAGTGGGCAAATACATTATTATATTATTGTTATTAATTGGACAATGAAATTTGGCGTTGTGTCRATAACTGCAATTGAATTTTCAATGTCAATGCTATTTTCCCCTGCGAGTATATTCATAGCAAAGTGCAAACCCAGCGGGAATATTGGAACATATCAAATATAATGAATATGATGGTTGATGGATGGTATTCATTGTGGTTTTAGCTTTAAATTTGGTCATAATCGTGGCTTGATGCGATGGCGCATTAACATCGTGTAAAATCTATGAATTGTTCTTCCCCACTTCCGGCCGTTTAGACGAATGTTTACACCGAAACGATTCAATTACTAAATTACGACTTCCTTATTGACCATCTGCCCCCTTCGGAATAAATTCATTATGCACCAAACCACGAATATCGAATAAAACAATGAGCAACACCTTAATTTTTTTGAGCGGCGTTGGCTTGGTATTTTGGTTTCGGCTCGTTTTTTTTCCCTCTATTCCGATGATTGTTTGCATGTCCAACTCATAAACAAATGTCTGAACGGCAGATGTAATGCACTCCATGAATGTGGAGTCGGAATTTACACGATACAGCATGTCCGAAGAGACATGTTTAGAAATGAAAAATTTAAATTCAAATATAATCCTTTCCTAACAATGTCATGTCTGTGTGTCAAAAAAAAAAAAAAAAAGGGTGAGTACTTGCGTTAGCGCCTAGTATATGCCTAATACAACGATTTTCGAACATGCAGGTGAATAAAAACGGGTGAAAACTCGGCGTAGACCCCATATAACTAACAAGCCTTAGTACCTGAAGTCGATTATTAAAGTAAATTAAATCATGTAAATAAATATTATTTATATTTAATTATCAAATACAATGCTTAAAAAAATAAAAAAAAATACGTTTTTCGAAATTCAAAATGTGTATGTTTCTTAAGAGAAATAGCTTTTGGAATGTTGCGCGATTTTTGATTGTTTTAATAAAATAAATGCTTCGGAACCAATAGGATCTTTCGAGCATTAACAGACATTTTCTAGACTAGAATTTTTCTGAGTTCTTCTCTTTTTAACCCAAAAGAGCTGACCAAAATCTTTATATAATATTCTTGACTCGCAATTAGAAGAAATTAGAAATTATATTAAACCAAGCAAAGATTTTTAGGAAAAGAGATGCCGCTTATTTTCTAATAATTTACAGATCACCTTAATGGTGCTTTTAATACCGATTTCATGTCTTCGGTTTTGTGTAAAATGAAAAATAGATTCGGTTAGGCTAGGTCGTAGGGTTGATCCGCAATCGATAGATATCATTTGGATACATATTCGTCCTTTCTGTTACAACTAAGSTCTCAAAAAGAGGATCAACAAATTCTCATAAACCGAGGAAGCATTTTGAGCTCACCACAAATTTATTAAGGCGGTTAATATCAATCGCTGCCACTTCGCAAGGTTCGTCAAATATGCATCTCCCGAGATATCCCAATCTCAGTCTGACAAAAGACGAGGAGTAGAGAAGGAAGTAACGAGTTGTTCATTAAAATTCCAATATAAGATTTTGAGTCATAGAAATCTGACAAAGGATAGGGACGTTAAATCCAAACGCTTCACTGACATATATACCTTCTCTTGAGACTACCATTCAATTCGGAAAAAATAACTAATTTGGATTATTCTATGTTGATATTGTTGTTGTATGGGCAGCAAACATCCTGGAAGTAATTTTTTGAACGGTTGCCGATCTAACAGTTCTTGGGCAGATTAAAATCCGGTGGCGTAGATCTGACTATCGTGTTCTATGTTGCTCTTTGGTAACGTTGGGGAACTCGCTGTGGAATGTCAATAAATGCCAGTGGTTTGTTCATCACTTCTGTGCTCGCAGTATTCAAACTTTTACACTCCTGTTCAACTTACAACTAATCCTGTTCTAATTAACAACATAATGCAATACAAGAGAGTTTATGAATATTTCAATAACGTTTTAATTTCTTTTTTATTTTATACTAAATTGCCAGTTGATTGTTCGATTCACCACTCTCTAAGTTTATTAATATATATTGGGAAATGGTTATATTCCTTACAGGTTACAGACATACCGCATTGTAAAGTTTCGAATCAAGCTCTTTCTCAAAACTTTACTGTCATTCCAGTTGGAGTTCATATTTAGGGAAGTAGTGTCAGAAGCATCCAAAAATTCGTAAAAATCCGTCTACTAATTTGGCTAAGTTTTTGGTATTTTTACCATTTACGGAAAGTGARGAAAAAAAGGTGCAACGAACTTAACTAGGCTTTGTTATTAGCTGTCGAAATATCAATGGTTTTTGTTGTTTGAACTTTTATTTCATAATTAACATAATTAAATAAACAATAACAACATATTAAAATACATACAAGCATATAAGCTTTAGGTCCTTTAGCAGTTGATGACTTTTTGGCCTTCCGTTTCAATTGTTTTCATAATTCCATCATCACGTTCAGTGCTTTKGTTTAACGAGTTCAAATAATAATAATGTCTAATTTTTTTTCTTACTTTAATCATAGCTATAAACAATATTTTCTAGATTGCTAAATGCATTCATATACTATAAATGAGCGTACATTGTCGCAGTTGTTGTAGTTGTTGTAGTGGTCGTAACAATTATACCATTACCATGATTAAGTGAATATTTTTTCCCATCGCATCCATTATCCATTGTTTAAATGTATCACTAGACATCATTAGTGTTCGACGATGTTTCGGGGATTTACGCAATTGTTGACTATTTAAAAGTGTAACGCGTACAGAGTGAATCGGTCAATGATAGCACTTGCACCCGGTCAGTTGTGGCATCAAGACTGAGGACTTCTTTAACTATCAAATTCTGATATTTTAATAAAATTCATAAATGAAAGGAAGATTGTGTGATTTTAAAGCGAAGAAGTGCGTTATTTTGATAGCCTGGCTATTGAATGTCGTGGAGCCCATTCAATGTGAGTGAAAATTTTCCGATTTTTATCTTAAATACTTATGATTKTAATAATGAATGCATGGAAGTGTACGGCAAATTTGGTATGAGTCATGTGAAGGTCATAGCGTGTATCCACATTAAGTTAAGTTAAAAAAGATTTATATTTGGAGGTTGCAGTGGCAAAATTTTTAAGCAAAATTATACTATATTTATACTAGTTATATATAATATACATATACATTGTGACAAAAAGTACCCGGAAATAGTAAATAAGACACAAATATTTAATTATTAATCAATCCTTACTTTTTCGTCATCGAAGTAATTCCCACCAGATGACATACATTTATGACAACGATTTTTCCAGTCCTCGAACCCCTTTTCATAATTCGATTCATTTTGTTTTATCTCTTCGATCGACTGAAACTGGTTCCACGGAGTGGCAATTTCAATTTGGGGATGAAGAAAAAATAGCACGGAGCCAAATCTGGTGAACACGACAGTTGATTGATGGTATCCATTGCGTTTTTGGCTTTAAATTCGGTCAAAATCGTATTCTTTTTGAAAAAAAAAAATCAGTTTTATCGAGAAGAGCCGAGCAAGAATGCGTTTCATACCCAAAATATCCACCAAAATCCTTCGAACGGACTCGTGACAGATATCGAGCTATCTTGCCATCTCTGTAACACTTGCCTGACGATTTTCAAGCACTATATTCTTTACTTTTTTAATATTTTTATCAATTGAAGAGTTCGAGTCGTCCAGAACGTGACATATCTTCAGTGGTTYCTCTACCATCTTTGAATGCTTTGTACCACTTGTAGGCTTGTGCTTTTGATAGTTATTGAATTATTTAATTTCCGTAARGTTTTTCCAAAATTTGTAATGATTYCGCCAACGAAATTTGGTTATAAATACATCATTTGAGAAATATGTTTWGTTCGATATTTTTATCCATTGTAAAAATCGCAACGCTCTATGTCGCCTCCGTCCTTTGCCAGGTCACGCCAGTTGTACATTCCAAGTGCAGACAGGTCGCTATGCACTTGGTCTTTCCATTGGATGCGGATGTTCCTTTGCTTCCGTTGCCCWCCTATGGGTCTCGAGTCGAAGGAGCTTTTCGCTGGAGCGAACGACCTGGCCTAACCAGCGCATTCGTTGAAATTTTATGTACCGTACTATATCCATGTCACCGTAWAATGGTGGTTACATCTTYTTCGATACTCATTGCTCACGAGATCTTGCGAAGATCAATTCTCTCGAATGCTATAGCTGCTTTTTCTTCTTGGGTTGTCTTCGTGAATGTTTTTGCGCCGTATAATAGGACCAGAGTAATGAGAAATTTATGGAGCGTAATTTTTGTTCGTCGAGAGGGATCTASTTCTCAATTGCCTRCAGATCCCAAAGTAGCACCTGTTGGCAGGAGTTATACTGTGCTTGATCTCCGAGTTAGTCAGATTCCATAAATATTKAAAATTTGTGTACCATCTTATCAAATATAACCCGTACTGGTCCGGCGCATGCCGAAACGATAAATATTTAAATGAAAAAAAAAAAACAGGAGTTTGCTTGAAATTTTTTGTTTCGGAAAGAATYACGCGGAGTCTACTTTATCTTGAACACAAGGAAGCACTCGGTAAAGGTCAGTTCATCCAACTTTGTTCCTGACGATAACATCAAAAAGGTAAAAGAAGCAGTGTTTGAAAATCGACGTATTGGCAGAAGAGAGATAGTGATCACAACATCTTTTATGGATCGCCAGAATACGTTTTGGTTAATGTTTTCGTTAATATTTTGGTTAATATTTTGGGTATAATGCGTGTTAATGCTAGATTCGTGCCAAAAGGTGTGTTTATTTTATAACAATGGCATCAAGTAGAGGTCGCAAAATGGATTCGAAGAATTCAATTCTATCCTATTAACAAAATCTTATTTTCAACTATAGTTGTCTGAGTAAGTTTATTAACATGAATCGGAGCACGACCAGTAGAAGAACCTTATGTATTAGTAGGTCAAATTTTAACTGTAATTTATTTCCTATATCACATTATTAAGCCCTTAGCAAACAAGTGATGAGACAATTTAATTAATGAGTCAATGAGCTTGAACAAGCATATGTTTTGAAAACATAAGATAGAATTCATAGACCTTACAATTAAACGTAGTAAAGCACTTTACATTCATCAAATGCATCAATACTAATGGCGAGAGTAATAACAACTGTATGGAAAATAGGATTAAGCCATTGTAAATTTGTAATGACTCAATTCCCTACATTGAAGGTGTTAGTTTTATATTAAAATAGCCGTAGATATACAAATGTTTAATTTGAATATTTTGTTCAGAGTCTGATCGAAAAAGGCTTGCAGGCTATTTGACATTTGGAAGAGTTAATGATATGTGAGCGAGGTACTACCAAAAATAGATTTAGTTGACCTGTTACTCCATGTTTATTTYAATATAAGACAGTCGAATTTCAACTATAAACGGCTAATGTCGATACCAAAAACTACACTGCCATCGAAAAAGCAGGCAACAATATTTGCTGTGGTGATTATGATTATGTTTGGAGGCAACATTTGRTACAATATCTCCAAGTGCTGGTAATTTGTGGGTTGAGGAAGCATCAAACAGCTGCCTTTATAAGAAATAATGTAATGTTTTAGAATCTTATTTCCAATATAAAGTTTTGTTAGACAATAAGTAGTTAAAATAGTATGTAGTAAATAGCTAAAGTATAGTATTATATATTTAACTCATATTAAATATATTCCAYGACTTTTTTCCTACCGGTCATCTCAAAGTGTGAATACAAACACATTCCAACAGCAATTACAAAATGCTATACAATTAAGCATTGGATAAACCAGCTCGTCAGCGGCGGCATCAGTAAAATAGAATATGAGTGTGAATGATAAAAAAGCCACTGGCCGAGTTATTCTAATTTGATCAAATAAACACTTTGTTCCTTCGCAAACCGTCATGCGTGAAGTAATGATTTAATCGACAAAATTCACATATTTTTCTGTTTTTACATAGGTAAAAAAACGTAAAACAATGCAGTTTATTACTATTTTTGTAATATGAATAATTTTTCCATGGGTAGAGGGTGCAGATTATGTTGAAAAGAATGTTCGGTATTGTTAATTGAAAAATATTCATGTCTGAACTAGTTACTCTATATTAGATGCTGTTATCAGATTTCGTTTGACAGAAGCGATCAGTACAAAAAGKAATTTGCATTTTCTCGCTGTTTTGGTAAAGACAAAATATTCAATAAATAGTTCCCTAATCGAAATGAAGTAAATAATAAGAATAACTTCATAAGCCTAAACGCATTGTAATATATTTGGTAAGTTAAATTTATTGGAATTGAAATCCGCTATTGGCTATAAAACATCGATGACATAACCAGCAATCGTTATACCATATGATCAAATTTGACCTGGACTGACAAAAAAAAAATTACTTTTACGTATTTTTATACAAATCGTCTTCAAAATAAGTTTCTTAGCCAATAAAAATATGACAACGCTAAATCAGCGAATTTTGTTTTTTTCTGGTTCGCCTCTTGTTTGGAGCGCCACTGCGACAGTTACGACGTCATGGCCATTAATGCCGTTTCGTAACCAGTATTGATGCTTTTTATGTGTAAGGTCTCCAGCTATGTAATCAAGCWTCGCTTTAGGGATCTCTACTTCATATCGATTCAGGTCTTTTCCTAAGAGTCTAGCATTGTCACGCTTTATATTAAAAACATTAACTGGAATGCCTTGGGTTTATCTATAAGAGATGTTCAGATCCTCTGCTATACTCTGATGGCACCATTATGAGCAAGCACTGTTTCTTTAACCTCTTCGATTTTATTGTCATTAACAGAGGTAGATGGACGACTCGCATGAGGGAAGTTTTCAATGACTTCACAACTTTCACTCAATGCTTTGTGCCAAAAAAAAAAAAAAAAATACTTGTTTTCGCGATAAATTAGACTTGCTAAAACATTTCTGCGAAATTTTTAATGATTCTTTAGCTGTAATTCTGTTGAAAGCATAAAATTAAAAAAAAAAAAACTCGGTTTTGCACTTAGGATGCTCATATTTTTCTTATTGCCAAACCTTGGAAAATCAATTAAACAACTGGTGGAAAGTACATATACTGTTATAATCAAATTGATGCTGAGAAGTAAGAGGCTATGTGAGGTATTCACATCTATCATCAAAGAAAGATGCAATCAATTTCAATCGGTCGATTACTCATTGAAGCATTCTTTAGCTGGCTGACACTGAGATGTATGGATAACATTACCACATGGCTTTTCTATAATTTACTATGACCTTATTGACCTTATTGACGAATTATCGAATTATGCAACGAAATTCACATTACCCTGTATGAGGCAGTGCAATTAAAGCTTTATGCACAATTGAATTTAGTATGTGACGATGCGTTTGCTCTTTACCGCAAGCAAATAATGCAAAAGAAAATATGATTATAAAATAAWTTTTGGAGTACACGAAGCAGGAAATAGCTGTTAACTGCAAAAAGGTTGAACTAATGGTGGTGAATTGTCGACAAGTTGACAAATGGGCCTMATACAGTTGAATGCAGCAAGTCGCGGCGTTCAGTCGCATCGGTGCGTTTACGTTGAACATAACGCGTTTAAACAAAATTCCATTACATACTCTGTCACATAGATGGGTGTGCAGCTACTTTCTCTACATCAACGAGCGTTCCTTAMATTGTATTGGTCAACATGCTGTGGAACGATTTGTGCTATAAACTTTACTTTTGGCCATTTCTGAATTATYTGGCGGCTATCAAAGGAATTTGTCCATTTTATCCAGGTTTTTTCCCCTTTATCACACTGCCACCAGTGATTATATTGCCAACGCCATCCACAGTGACTACCACCACAACGACAACCGCATCCACAACCACAACCGTAACCACTACAGCCGCCACCACGCWGTCCACATTCCCAACACCACCAACRATCACAACACTCATACCATGTCCGGCTCAGCCGCTGGCGTGTTTAAATGGCGGCACACCACCGATACCCTACTGCCCATGCATTGACCCAAGGCAAAGTGGYATGGTGAATGGAATGGRGTCAACTTCGCCGATGCCGTCTTTGGCACTCCGAAGCGGCGCAGCCTTATCGCCCGACCGTCTAGTTTTCATGCCAGTTAATGCGCAACCGAATGTTGCACAGAGTTTACAACAACAGCCMAGTGGTAGTGCCAACGSTTTTAATTACACTTTGGGCCCACGAAATGGCGTACAGCCCAGCGCAGCGCCCAATCCATCGGATACGTTGGTTTTCAGTTCACTTAGTGAACGTCGGCGCAGGAAGCGGCGAAAGTGAAATGTGTATTGCATGAAATTACTAAATTAGTTAATATTTTTGTATTTCTATTATGAAAAAGCGTTTGTTTAGTAGAAACTAGAATATAGATTGATTTATTTTTTTACAAATTCGTATATAAATATGCTAATGGACGAGGGATATGAAACTGCACTGTATCTATTTAATACTTTTGTGAAGTAATATATGGTAGCTTATTAGATTTGGGGAAAGATCATAATAAAAATTTCTCAAAATATGAAAAAATTAAAAAAAAAATGTATAAAACTATAAATATATCCTTTAAAAATATGTACATATTATATTTCTTAAATTTCTTTTTTATATTCTAATAATTAAATTAAATTCATTTTTATGTCCTAATAATTCTATATATAGAAAGTCATATTAAAAATACAATATGAAATTTAAAAATTTACGGATATTAAGAGAATTCATTTCATTGGAAATTAATAGAAAGAAAAATTATTGAAAAAATAGGAAAAAATTAACTAAAAATTTAATTTTTTAAACTGTAAAACAACAATTTTTATTACTGCATAACATATACATGATTTTTCTATTATCTTAATTTAATCACATAATTAAAATGATTATTTCCGGTACTTATTTGACAGTGTAAGTAATTGAATAACATTCAGATATATTTTGTGGTATTTAATTTTTTGGTAGTACACCGAATTGACCCAATTTACTTTCCACTCTTCCACTTTCTTTCTCTCATTTCTATTAAATTAGCTCAATATTGTGTAGATTCTAGTCAACGAAGTGGCCAATGCGTGTATATGAATTCGTGTCCACAACTGATTCAGGACTATTATGAAGCAGTAAGATTTTCGCCAAATTTGCCGGATTTTCAGACTTTTGTGAGCGGTTCAATGTGCGGATATGATGGCATCAATTTTATGGTGAGTAGTCAACTACTTCTAAAACATATGTAATACATATGTAAGTATTTGTGTGATTACTAGGGTTACTATATATATTTGTGGTTTGAATATTTGATTCGATTATCTTGGGGAATAATATTTTGTTGCTTTCTACGAAGTGCTTAAAATAAAATGGGGTTAAGGGTAATGTTTTCGACACGATCTAAAATGAAGCCAGTATAATATGTATTTTCATCTAACTTCATACGCATACAGTACCTGTATTTTACATATTGACTGATATGTATATAAGTACAAAGTAAATTCAATCGCGTGAACGAAAATAATTTTATTCGGTATATGAGGGTAATAAAATTCTATTGTAGACCAATTTCTCAAATTTCGTTTTAAAGAAAAACACCAGTTCTTGGTAAAATTCCATTTTTTTTTAAACTTATTTGCAGTCGAGGGTTAAAATTATGTACATATTTAAATTTCCTTTTTGACGGAGATTATCTCTTTTCAATATAACCGCTGATTCAACATGTTTTGGCGCTGCTTTTCGTCCATCTTGCTTGATCGCGATCTTTATCTTGTTTTAGTGGTGAATGCTGTGGCATCTAGAACTCTCTTTTGCGCTCTCTTATTGAGCATTCTCACCATGTAAGCCATTTTAGTCGCAACGCTTTGATAAAGCGTATAACTTATCACCTTTTATAAGCTAGTTTAGCTTCCGTTTCCACCTTATAAACCACTCGTCATTATTTTTCTTAGTTTTTTTTTTTTTGTTTTGGAAGATTTGCAGTTTGATTTGGTCCTTTTCATYCGTATGATGGTTTGTCAAGAACTAGTTTATTTTGCCTATTGACGTGGTTTGATTTGAATAGTTTCATAAGGGATGCGACCCAATGCGAGATGTATTGTATCTACGATATTCATCACTACTGAGTTCGAAGCCCAAGTAAGTAAAGGTCGATACTTCCAAAATATAATTACTATAATTTTGTCAGGTGAGTGTAGTGTCCTTCCACTCGTGGGGTTCGRTTTACCACGTGCAGTTCAGACAGAYGACTTTTGATTTTATYGCGTGATAAARTTTTTCTTCAATTAAATACATTTTGATGAAAAAATTTGCACTTTGCATTTAGCAATGTATGATTTGGGTTGTGGTTCGATTTTATACAGAGCTGTCGCCTGCCGAACTATTCATGAACGTTATGATYAAAATGTTGATTAGTCTTTGAGSGTCATCCATTTCGATCAACTTCAGWTAATGATCACGAATATCTTAYTTAGAAAAGTTTTCGATGTGAACAGCTTGTTGTCTCAAATTTGACAAGGGTTATTGTGGAAAGCAATGATACAATCTGCGCAAATATAGTTTAGATCCGACTACTAGAGCATATGGCTGCCGGGTTTTACATTTTTTTCTTTTTTACATTATTTTTTCAAAGTGAAAAACTTTTAAAATTTTTTTATATTCTTTCTCAGTTAAAAGTTTCTTAACGCTTACCCGCTTATCCATACATAAGTGAATACTTTTTATAACACATATTTATTAACTATACATTTTCCAGATCTGCTGTGTTTCCAATCGCAATATTCAATCCCCCGGTGGAATTCAAAATCTTCCCGCACCGCAGCAGAACAACCCGTATGTTTCCGCATTTAAATTTTCTTCACTAAATTCACTACCAAATGTGCCAACGTCAACACTTGCAATGCCAACAACAGCTACATCACCTATAATACCATCATATTTGCCACCTATCAATATGCCAGAAAGTACAAAACCACCRAATCCGCCTAGCTTACCCCTCTATACTCCAAGTGTAAATTTCTCMGCAGCAAGTGTACCAACACGTTTGKCACCTAARAGGAGCGGCGCAGAGTGCGGCGTGAGCACAGCTTATACCAATAAAGTAGTAGGCGGCACGGAAGCGAGACGAGGTGGGAGTATTTATGACATTCATTATTCCAACTTSTAGAAGAAACCATACTTTTCATTCATTTTAGGCGCATACCCTTGGATCGTCGCTTTGGGTTATCGCGACGAGAATATGGTGAATTCATTGCAATACCTTTGTGCTGGTAGTTTAATATCGAACCGTTATATTTTAACATCGGGTCATTGCGTAAATTCTCTGCTGATCACAGCACGTCTGGGTGCCCACGATATTAGTGATCCCAACGAGACCGGCGCTATAAGCATACCCATTGAACGTAAAATCATACATGAACAATATAACTCGCAATATATTATTAATGACATTGCATTGGTTCGTCTAAGTGCCCCGGCGCCAAACTCGGGTAAGTAAGTTCAGCAGCGGGTACTGCATGTCTCTATAATTGGGTTAAAACCTTATATTTAAATAAGTTTGATATAAATGTGTTTACATAAGCATAGACATATATTTTATCCACTAGCATATATAAGCACTATTTGCTTACCCGAAGGCGAGCGTTTTGCAAAAGATTTTGTTGGCAACAATCCGTTCGTCGCTGGTTGGGGTGCAYTGAAGTTTCAAGGACCCAGTTCGAATGTTTTGCGTGACGTGCAGGTGCCGATTGTGACTCAACAGACTTGTACACAGTCTTATAAAGCAGCTTTTCAAAATTTARTATTTACAGATCGGGTAAGTTTCGRAGGTAAAKCCCCAGTAATACAATTATATAAAGTTTATTTAAAAAGTGACTATAATTTAATTTCCTTATTAGTTCATTTGCGCKGGCAATTCTCATGTCGACGCTTGTCAAGGGGATTCCGGTGGGCCACTAATGATGCCGATGGTAATCATATTTCCTTATATTACACAAAGCCTTACGCATATGAGTCAACTTATTTGGCTTCAAAACTCAGTGCTTTCAATTAATCACATGTGTTTTTGGCACACTCGGACATCCGGCCTTGGAAATTACCTCAATCTTTATATCTTTTTATATTTTAGTTGGAAAATGGCGCTTATCATTATTATATTCTGGGCTTGGTTTCTTATGGCTATGAATGTGCTCGACCCGGATTTCCTGGTGTTTATACACGTGTAGCTTCCTATATACCATGGATACTCAGCCATATGGTGTAGGTATGAATGCGTGCTTCAATCTCATATAATATTTTTTAATGCCAACAAAATTATTTGTTAATTTTTTACTTAGTTTTCAAAAAAAAAATTTGTAAAATTAATGTTTAGTGCTATTTATTGCTAGACATTTTTAAAATGTAAATAAAATTTCAACCGAAATAGAAACATCATCATTCTGTCGTTTGATCTTTAGTTTCTTTTAAGAAAAATTGAAACGTGAAAGCGCCAGTAAATTTATTCAAGTGAGTCAATATAAGAAAATGTATCAATCCCTTATTAAGGCTTCTTTACTATCACTATCTGTTTACTATCTATTTGATTATGCCAGTTTATGCGACTGATACCAGTTATATGTTYGATTCGTAACTAATAAAATTTAGTCGTAGAAAATAGACAAAATGTAAGATGTACACCGAATCTGAATGAGCTTCCACAAATTTCGAACCACAGGACGATAAGACTAGCATACAGGATCCCTGTTGTAATATAAGTTATACTAATGAAATGAGAATTACAATGTTATGCAGCATATATGACTCATTATTTCTAAATGAGATATCTTACGTCAGTTCTTTATATTCACTTGTTAATTTTGAGTTAGTACAATAATGTACTCCATTATCCAATAGCAATACACTCTTTAGGCATAACATCTAACCAACGATTAGAAATTACAATTTATAACTGACAACAACAATTATATTACAATTGCAGTTTTATTAATCAGTGAACAAACGGTGCTCTCGAAGCGTGCTATAAATTGATGAGTACCATATGAGAGCGATTAGCTAGCTTTCTAGTCAAGAGAACCAATTACATGTCGTCGTTGGCGTTGTAAATAGCAACAATACCGCGAAAAAACGAGTATTAATTACTTATTCATATTTATGCAAAAAGAAAATATATAAACAAATGCATTATCAATACGAATCAAGACGCTACAATGAACTGTTAGATAACTTAGAAATAAATGTATATTCTTATACACCATAAAAAGCTGACTCTTTGTAAATGTTACTCAACTTGTCAATTTGTCTGCTTTAAGACAAGTACATAAATTATGTAATATTTTAAAATTCTTTTTATATTGATTTTTGAAAAAAATTTCCTAATTTTTTACAGTATATTTAAGTGATAATCTATTGCTAAAATTAGATAAGTTCTCAGGAAAGCATTCTCAAATCAAACACAATTGATATAACCGTAATGTCAAATCTAATCCTGAGATATCGTCAACTTCATGAGTTGTTCTGAGCGAAATTGTGAATTAATATCTGGTAGTTTGACCTTCAGTTTACGATGACTTTCTTTAGATAACATTGATACTAAAGTATTAAAATTTACTTTTCTTTATTATTTTAATAAATTCTAAAACACCTCTAAAATATTGTCCTAAATTTGTCAGTTTGTATGGAACTACATATTACACTGCGCTCGAGGTTAGCTAGGCTAAGTGCACCATCTATAAACGCGTTTTGTTCGAAACTTGGTTTTTGAAGTCAGTTAGCAAGATTTATCGAGAACTATTCAACCGATCTTCATGAAATTTTACACAGGCCTTTGAGATCCAATACTTAAAAACTTGGATTTTTTTCGATTATAACTACATATTTGAAAAAAAATGTCGCGAAGTTTTTAATATTTGTAAAAATGTCTGCCTAAGTCCAATTTTTTCTTTTCTCCAAGTTCTGCGTTGAGGTGTCAACCAAAACAAGTTATTTCTCACTTTAGATGAGTTATCCTGCCAACGCGGTCGTGTCTTTTTTCCGAGGGGTCATCGAAAATGGCGTCACAATTGCCGAGTTTAAAAATATTTTCCCAAAAATTTCAGGATTTCTACTTAA